AGTCAGTTCTATCCGAAGGAGTCTACATACGGCAGGACCATACGCGAACCTTGTCTCTGGTATGTCGTCCCATTCGACTCTGAGGATCTCCGCTAGAGAACGAACTATATCCTCCGAAAGAGGCTCCATTTGGCCGATTTCGTTCTCCAAGTCATATTGGTATTCCGGATCCTCCAGGAAGGCTAGGGCGCTCGAAAGGATCGTTCGCCTCTTGGCGAGTTCGTGCTTGAGATTGTCGTAGAGCATCGCCCCCAACTCAGATCGTGACCTTCGCAGATCTTGTAACAAGAGGCGGAAAACTTTATCCGCATGGGTCAATGTTGCTTCTTTCCTGCAGAGAAGGAGGATGGCCCGTTTGAACGGAGCGAGATTGGCCGCAATCCCCTCTAGAGCTGAAACGTCGGACGCACTGATCGGGGTGCCATGGCGCGACAGGACGTTGTTCAGAGCGGGGAGTATGAGGAGAACTCGCTCAATCATGAGTAAAGTCGAGTACCAACGAGTTCGACAGTCCAGAATCGGGCGTAGCTCTCTACCATTATACTCATCTCTGGCTGTTACCTTCCGAATCTCATCCATCAAATTCGGTTTTTTTCTGAAGTCTCGCGCGATCTTCCGCAGTCGTTCAACTGCTTCACCGAGCACGACTGGCGCCCCTGGGCCTGACGCAATTTCATTTTCCACGTCGTTTTCCGAGTTCTCCTCCGCTTCTGCAATCCGTTCTTCGTCGGTCTCGGGACCATCTTGATCGGACGGGGTGGCCAAGATACCGATGTTGAAGGCGAGAGAATCTTTTCCGTAAATGACTTTCTTCACCACTAGGTCCAAGCCATGTGCGTAACATTTCTGCTGCTTGACTCCCAGCAAGTCGACTGCCCTCAAGACGTTCCGGGCTCCATCAGTTGCCGCTACGGCGAAATCGCTAGGCGAGAGACCTACGCCTTCAAGGCGCGCACTGATTCGGTCCTTGAGATATTCGCCAGTAGCGCGGTCCTCAACTCTTATGAGTCCAAGTGGTGCGATGCAAGATCTCCCCAGTATCGCTTCACTGTGGTGGACATTCAGGGTCAGATACCGATCCGTTCCAATCAGAGTAGCTTCGTCGAAAGACAGGCACAGCTTGAACCCTGGAAGACATTGTACAGTAGGGGAAGCTAGAGGGCAGTCTCATGATTGTAAAAACGAACCCGTTACCTCTGGCGAGAATTGCTCGAAGATCGACTCGGAGCTTATCCGTGACTATTTTGGCATCTTCATGTAGATAACTCGTCAGAGTGGTTCCCGATTTCGGGAGCGGAGGATCGCTCGGATAGACTTGAGAAAAGAGTCTCCTGAGTGTTCCTGATGTCGCGATCTGGTTCATGCTTATATTAGATTCACAGATTAGGCGGAGCGCATCTTTCCGGACAGAGTTATTCTTGTTCAGGAAAGAATCTAAATGCATCTGTTTCCGCTTCTTAGCTGGCGGCTGCTTGGAGGGAGCAGGAGGCTGTTCTTCTTCTTCGATTCCCAGTGTAGGGTCGCTCGATGATGATTGAGGAGTTGACGGGCCGTCAGATATCGATGGAGCTGTCAGGGCGTCAGATGTTGATGGACTTGGAGGTACGGTAGTCTTGGAGACCCCGTGCTTTGTTTTCAAGTGTTTGATCAATGAGCTTGTAGTCCGATCTTTCTTTAAGATCTGAAATCGGACAGGAGGCTGGAATTCGTGCTAAGAATCGAGGTACGAACCATGTGGAAGCTTTTAGGAAGCTTTCGGATCGGACTCCCCTACAGAATGAAAGATTGATTCTAAACCCCACAGATGATCTCCCCGTAGGGAATAATCTCGGCGATCATGAGTGCTCTAAGCAACTCGGGAGCACCGGATCAGAACCGTGCGGTCGTAGTCCCACTCGAAACCATGCCATGCTCGCTGGACGAAACCTTACATCAAAACAAACGTTGCACTGTGCCTTAGCTTGCGATACGCTCCGTTTGAACCACAGCCAAACCCAACTCTTCGAGTTCGTCACTACTCTGAACTCTTCTTTTCCGTTGTCCATCTCAGGAAAGACCGAAGCTTTGGGTCGAGTGTTGAGATCCAAGATTTCCCCCGCCCTTGCTAATGTTATCATTTGATTTCTCTCCATCTCCTCCTGTTATTGTTGACGTCAGTCGTCTGGTTGAGGTCCAACAGATTGCGGGAGAAATGCTTCGGAGCTCCAACGCTCCGAGATCTTGAGACCTCGTACTCCCCTCTGACTCCAGATTGTTCTGGGCGAATACCCTTATGAGTGGGAAGATGACTCAACCCAGAAACAAGATTGATTTTGCCTCGTTGAATTGTTTGGATATCTATGCGGACCCGGACTCCGTCACGATCCTCCGCGTCTGCAACTTCGCCGTATTCAGCCTCCTCTCCGAAAATTCTCCGAGCTCCCTCGCATAGTTTCCTACAGAAATGTGCGGCGTCGATGTTTCTCTGCGTAAACATCGCTCAGCTGTGTACAGCCGAAATCTCTCTCTGCGACCACCATACCCTCCAAATATTCGATCGTTATATGTACGTCCCCATGCGGTTCCGGCGGTTCCAGAACCATAACGGAGAGGCGGTTCTGGCGGTTCTGGAGCCGCGAAAAAAGTGCGGTTCCCGCGGTTCCGGAACCGCGGTTCGGAACCGCTGGGAAGCCTAGTCATGACTCCACACTGATCTCGGAACCGCAGCGTCAGCCTGGCTACCGCCCGTTCGTACTCTGACAACAAGACCTCTGGCGGGTCCACTTGCTGTTCGCGGATAGCCCTATACTGGGCTTGTCCTTCGGTTCCCAGACAACACATAAGTAGCGCGACTTTCTGAGCGTCCGAAATCTCACCACCACGTGCGGTCAGGTAGAACCCAAACGACTCAATCCACTCGTCGAACGGAATACTAGGTTCCCCTGGCAGTGGTAAGAAGGGTGGCGGCGGAGGAACATTCATAGCCATCTTGATTTCACACAGATTCGTCAACCGACTGCGCCAATTTAGAGTTACCGGCCGAATCAAACAGACACGAAACGTACGCCGAGCTCGGTCCGCGCGCGAGTGATAGACGTCTTTATTGTTTTCCTCCGAATGCTATCGGTTCCCGCTAGGCGGCGCTATCTCGATCTCCATCTACGGATTCTACAGTATGCAATCTTAAACCCGTCCGATACCCTTGCAGCATTTCGATATCGAGAGTAAGACGACGACGATGCGGAGAATCAGTTTCAGTGTATCGAAGAACACTGTTACCGCGCGAAACCAGTTTTCGCGAGAGAACATCTTCGGACGAGCTTGTCCCTCTTTCAGGTGATCGGACGGCTTTCTCAGCGAAAGGCATGTGGATTCAGAGACGAGAGTCCCGATGATATACCCCCAGAGCGAGCGGACGAGGGCTCATCGGTAGGGAGCTCTGAGGAGGATCAAATGATAGCGAGACAAGGGACACTCTATCGTGAGTCGATAGAACTCCCCGCGAGGGCTCGATCATGCGATCCCATAGAGGAGATATGAGGATTCACGAGAGGAATCTCAGATATAGGAACGGATACATCATATACGTGATGGGATGCTCAGCCTTTCGTTCACCCTGAACGACACAGCCGGGTTCGGCTAGTCCATGTGATGCATTCATCATAGATCAAGCCCATCTTGTGGAATTTTCGCTGAGTCGGGCCATTTTCGCCACGCGACGCACAACTTTGTAGTCGAACTGAAGCACCACCGCGACAAAGGTCACGCAGAATGTTAGATACTTCAAGAAGCTCCGGACGTCAATCGAGAAACTAGCGACTCTCAGAACATCGCATTCTGCACGTACTCGAAAAACGGCAAGAAAATCTGCGTCGACAAGAGTGTCGTCGTCGTTAATAACCAGGGTCTTCTTGAAGACGGAACTCTCGAGCTGAGCGTTGCAATCAGAAACCGCGGAGCATTTCCTGACCAGAGAGACAGCTTGGAAATTGTCGCAGAGTACGGTCGCCAGAATGATGTCGAAAACGTTCAGTTCAGATCGTTGACCGAATAAATCGCTAAAGAAGGAGATCACCATCGTGAGGTAATGCAGATAGAACATGATTAGAGGAGAAGCGAACAAGTCATTGACTTTCATGATGAGATCCCGCATCAGCCATTTTTTTGAGAATAATTCTTCCTTTGAGCTCAAGGTTATCGGGGCTCCGATCAGAGCTTTGACTTCGCTCTGAATTTTCAGGATTTTGATGATCGCGTCGTTGTAGAGCACCAAGAAATTCGTTCTGGAGAAGTCATACAGAACGAACATCATTCTTCCGAGTCTCAACGACCAATTCGGAAATTCCGCGATCGCCGTGAGATTGAGGATCAGATACGGACACAGGCATAGCATGAGGGGCACAATATCTCGAAAACGCCTGCCGTGCTTCTGGAGAACATATTCGAAATCGTCATTCTTCAATATGAACGAGAGTTTCCAGTACCACGCAAAGAATAGAGTCGAAAGTGCGTTGAATAAATTCACGGATATAATGAAGCTCATATTCTCATCCTCGAGAGACAGCTTCCAAGGCACGTAGAGGACAACGACGCCGCACCAAATCAAAGTGGTGAAGAACCATGTCCCGAGGCACAAGACTCGTCGACGAGGATTCCGCTCCAGGCCAAGGCACAGTCCATCCACCGCACAGAGCCCCGCTAAGAAAGTATCTGCCAATGACCGAGCGTTCGATGACTCGGTATCCGGAGAGAGCTTAGGCATATTCTTCCTCCGTGATCTCATTCGGGATTCGGTCCTGTCTCACGATTGCGTCGATCCTTTCTTGGAAGTGATGGGTAGGCAGGAGTTCGCTTATAGCGAATCTCCGACCGTATTGCTCCTCGGCATGGCTGCATGAATGAGCAGCCAAGGACTAAAGGTCAGGCTCCCGGATCGATCAGTCTCTAAAGGCTTCGCATTTTCCTGAACGACTACACCACAGATTCCGATCAATATATCGATCTGCAGGCGAGTTGTGTTCTTTCACGACGCGGTTGTCGAAGTTGCTCAGGATGAGCCACAGATTCTGACGAGGAGTTCAGTAGGAGTCTTGAGGCTTATTGTCGATGAAGGCGCCGGGCTCGTGTGCCTCCAGGCCCTTACCAGAAATTCGCGAAACACAGGGAATGAAAACTCTCTCACTTCCGATTGTCTCATGCCTATCGAGCCGACGGATTAAAATGCCGATTTGTTTGCCGATGCAGTTCACGGCCTGATGCCTTCGGGTGACGGGTCGCCCGGACTGGGGTGATCGTACCTCTCGTGCTTCCTTTACTTGGAATGGCTGTAAAATGAACATATTTTTATTATCGCAACATATTTTTCCCTGATGGGAGACCATCCAAGGCGAAAAGTCGCATCACGTGCATGAGTTCCCCACGTGCAGCCAACCATCATCATCAATCTAGAATATCCCAACAACCTATGGAGTCGAGGACTGCGCGCTCTTATCGCGAGGGATGCTCGCTGGTTCCGCCGAGATATCATCATACGCAGCATAATTATTGCGTCATTCAGGAAATTCAATGAATCTTTATTGAGAAGGGTTCTCAAGCGTGACTCTAGGTTCATTCATGCCAATATCGAATACACGTTTCTTCAGCGCGCGAAACATTGTGACCCATGTCGGTGCATGGGGCTCCTTCTCCCGTGGGGTCCGAGTCGTCTGAGTTAGTGCCAATCGAATGAGGGCGCAAGGATGGTGAGCCTCGCCATCGAATTGCAACCCAGGCGAGTGGACGAAACGTCGGCGTCGTCCTCATCATAGGGAAAGTTCTAGGTACGCGGAACGGATCACACACCATACAGCTTGGCGGAGTGTCATCGCGAGGCGTCCAAGTGGTTCAGGTACCTCAGGATTTTGTAGTCGAATTGAGGGACCATGGCTACCAGAGTGACGGAGAATGTTAGGTATTTGAATAGATTCCGGATGTCAATTCTGAAACAGGCCACCTTCAATACGTCGCATTCCTCCCGCAAGCGGAAGACGGACAGCAGACCAGTGTCGACAGTTATGCCCTCGGTCAAACTTCGCTTCAATAAATGGCTGTAAAATTTGACGCTGCAAGTCTTCACGGCGGAGCATCGTTCCGCCAGTGAGAGAATTTGATACGAATCGGAGATCAGGCACGCGAGGCTCACATACAGAGAGCTCGTTCTCGTCGAGAAACCGAGGAATTTGCTGAAGGAGGATACTATTATGCTGAACAGATGGATGTAGAATGTAATCAGGGGGAGGGCGAATAACTCGTTGACTTCCCTGATTGAGTCGCGAATGAACCATTTTTTCGGGATAAGTCCATCCAGTTCGATCAGCCCCCTCGAAATCTGAATCGAATGATGTAGCTCGTTGAGTGTCTTCAGAATTTTCGCGAGTGCGTCGTTGTACAAGATCAAGAAAGTCATCCTCCATACGTCGTATTGGAGATACACGACCACAGAGACTAGCGAGAACAAGTCTTTTTCGCTCAATGAGTTCAGAATGTTTTGGGCGAGGAAGGGCCACAAGGTGAAGATAAGCGGTAAGATGTCCCGCAAACGTCTGCTGTGTTTCTGGAGAATACGTTCGAAAGCGTCGTTCTCTAGGACGAATGAAAGCTTCCAACGCAAAACGACGAAAAATGATAAAACTAGGTTGGCTGCGTAGACCTTGGACGCGAAGCTCGGTCGCTCTTCCGCCATTGAGAAGCATTTCAGCATAAGGAATATTATGAAGCCGAGGAAGGTAAGAGCGGTCAAGAGCCACGCTGAATAACATATGAATCTCTTGCGGGGTTTCCGCTTCAGATCGAGACACAGCCCATCTGCCGCGCACACGATGAGGAACAGCCTATCTGCGTAGGAAGGGATCTTCAATCGACCTGACTCGGGCGAGGTCCTCGACATCTGCGACGGTTTTCGGACCTCTGACTGTAGTCACAAATTCCCACGATGTAAAATGTCGGATTGCAACCCGGAGCGTGCCCCGGTGACGGTTCGAAGTTTTCAGCTCTGCAGAAACAACACCGTCTCAGCGAGATTGGTGCCGCCCTCGCGCTTTGCTGAGCGACGGAGGCGCACTTAATCCCTCGATCATACTCTCTCCCAGAGCTGAACAAGAGGATTTTATGTTCG